TACTAATATATTGATTATATTATTCAATACTAATCCTGGCTAAAAAAACTATTAGAGGTACGCAATAATAAACTTTTGAAATTATTAGCCTTTTTTTGTTTTCTACTCTTGGGGATGTTGGAGATTGTTCAAAGATTTAGACCAATATATAGCTTAAATTAGAAGATGAGTAAAGCATGAATAAAAGAAGTTATGTTAATTCTTAAATCATTAAGCTGTCAACTCTCCAAATCTATTCTAAAGTTTATCTATTTATAAAAAATAATCTTCAAAAAACTAAAGAATGGATATGGAGACAGAAAGCTCTTGCAGGTTCAATTAACTGAAGCATATTTCTTAATGAGATTTTTTAACATGTTTTCCCAGCTTAGCTAAACTAAAGATAAAATTGTATCATAATAATTTAGGGATGATTAAGAAGAAACTTTATGAAATTAAATCATAAATATTTTAAATTAAGGGCTGTTGAGCTTTATCATTTTATGATTTGCTGAATTTATTCACTATAAAAAGTTAATTCACCAAACATTGCCAAATACAAATGGATTATTTATATTTGTTAAGCTTTTATAATTTAAATTTATATTTTAGAATCAAATAAAAGAGTTTCAGTTTCTATTTTAGTCTGAATTTTATTTGTATTTATATTGAGATTTTAATTTATTTTAATTTAAAAACTTCTCATGGAATATAAGATGATAAGAGAAATCTTTTGGAAAATGACCTGATTAATCTTAAATCAACTTAAATGAGAAAAAATTAAATTTACTTAAACATCCATCTATTGTAAATCTTTTTGGCCTTTTCAATTGAATTTTTTTTAAATTAAGAGATTAATTTGAATTTGCAAGAACCAAATTAGTATGATAATTACTAAATTCAACACTGCAAACAAGTAAATCTAATAACACTCATCACAACTCAAATCTAATTCCATTATTAAATAATAATTTGTTGTATTGTAAGCAAAAATTATTTGAAATATGTAAGTTTCATCAGAATAATAGTTAACAAAGATAATGATGAAAGAATCATTTGTTTATCGAAAATTGTTAAAGGTGTATTGAATTTAACAAAAAAACTAAAACAATTGTTATTGAAATTAATAATTTTTATTCATAAAATTTTCATTTAATAAATAAGCACTCTGACTAACTACATAATAATTATTAGATCAATTAAATTTAAAAGGTAAATATATTTTTATTTTCTTTTTTAATTTATTTCCATCAGAATCGTAGAATTGTGAATAATTACAATACATGAATAAATTTATAATTATTAATTTTCATTTAAATACTTAATTTAATATTTCTACTTTAGATTTACCTTATAATTGTACACATGGATACAAATCTTTGGATGTATCAATATTGAGAGTCTAATAATAATAATAAATAGAAATTGATACGAATGATTGATTTGTGGATTACTTTGTCCATTTCACGTACTTCTTTTAAATATCCACTTCAACAATTATAATATCATTTGTTGAAAATGGAAATGCTATTTATTTTCTATGTTTATCTTATTAATCATGATTAAAACATTAACCATCATAATAAATATTATATGTTCTATTTTGATTCTATTAATATCATAAATATACCCTTATCCAATCTCAAAACAATTGAGATAATTCCTACTCTACACAATATCCCTAAAACCAATTCCTATCATAATATAAGTGATTTCAATAATTTTAATAGCAAATTAAATTACACCATTCTTAGGGATCATTTAATCACACATACAAGAGAACAAATAACCAGATTAACTTGTCTCAATAACTTTTCCATTTTAAGTAACTGAACAATGACTATGCTTATAAGTTGTTGAGAAAGTCAGTGATTAAGAGAATTACCATTCCTGCTTCTAATTTATCTTTTTATTATACCAAAGTTTATTATAATTATTTTATCATTTCCTCATTCTTCTGATTTTACTCTTAGCAACTCTATAATTCTCCTTGCTTCTCCTTAACTATAACTTCACATTAAATTTCTATTAAGAGATTGAATACTATTAAATATTACTTTATTATTCAAGTTCTTTTATTTTAATTGATTAACCTTCGTTTTGTCTCTTCAAATCTGATATTAATTTTATTTATTCTGCATCATTTTTCTTAAGGTCTTTAATAACTTATTGATTCCCTAAATTAATCTTTTCACTTTCTGTGAGTTGATTTTACAGTAATTCCTTCTCTTGCTTATGCAACTTCAATTCAGCTTCAATTTAATCAAACTAAGTGAATTTTTGCATAAGAGATAAATCTTTATCAAACTTTGATACATATTGTTTAAACTTATAAATATTAATCGAGTTTTTACTTGTTATAATTAGATATCTTTGAATTCATTTGATAAACTACTTATTGTTTGTATAATTAAATCATATTAATTTAAGGCCTCATTTAAGATATCCTAATATATTTTGAAATTCTGTAATTGTAAGTTAAGTTGTTTGATTTATAGATGATTTGAAATCGGATTATCATCTTGTAAAATTTCATTTTTATATTCATTAGAAATATTGAAACTTGATTCCTTGAAGATTTTATTAATCTTTTCAGTTGCAATTAAATCGTTTTATAACAATTTTCCAAAATTAGTTGATATGATTTCCAGTTAATTAAGGTCTTCTTTCTGAATATTTAATTACTTTTCAGCCAAAGCTTAGAATTTATTATTCTAACTTAATATTTCAGTTAATTCGTTAACTTGCTCAGTACTCATTTCAAAAATCATATTTTCATTAAATTCATTTGTTTCATTTTAAGAGAAGTATTAAGTGTTTACCTTATTGATTATTTCTGAAATAATGGAATTGTACTTTTCCTTTATTTCTTGAAGTATTTCAATGATTTATGATGATTTCAAACATCTTTAATTTTAAAATCGTTTAACCTAATCACTAGTTTATCCTAAATATTCATTCCATCTAAAACTAGCATCTCCTAATGTTGTGTATTTGATTGGATCATTTGATTATATACACTCAACACAAGCCAATCTAGAAAACTGAGTTTTTTCAGGATTCAAATTAAACATAATAATTTCTTTTCCATGTTTATTACATTAAATTTTCAAACTTGGTGTTTTCTATTTGTAATAGTTAAAAAATAATAATTACCTATGGATCCTCCTCCTTTTTAGAAAGTAGTTATAGTTACTTTATTTCTGAATTTTCATTTTCCACTTTAGTCTTTTCTAAGGCTTCTTTAATTTATGTTAATTTTGGGCAATTTATTATAGTTTGTAACTATTGTTATATAGAATCGATATAAGAATTGTCATCTAGAAACTTCTCCAATTCTTTAGGTACTTCAAAGCTAAATGATCCTTTGTAATTCTTTGATAATATTTTGACATCTTCTTCAAAAGAAGTAACAAAAGTTTTTGATTCTGATTCATCTAGTTCATTCTCCATTAGAGTGATTTTTTAATCTATGTTACTTTAAACTTTGTCAATAGT